GTGCATAAGTATTTCCTAACTGGAACATCTCCAATAACAGAGATGGAGCATTTTAACACCAGTTTGCACGCAGAAAAGCAAATACAGGAATGGGAGATAAAAGCTTCAGATTTTATAAATCTACAGATTTCAGTAATGGTTTACATGAAGATATCATGAAAATCTAAACACACTTAAGAGTCTTTGTTTCAATAAAAAAATATGTACATATTCTTTCCTATGAACACAATTTTTACATTGAAGCAGTTAATTTCAAAGTGTTTTTTTTTTTTAAATTTACCTTCAGCTTCTTAAAATCTTAGACACTTCACTTGCAGCATGAAAAGCAGAAAAAGGAACCAAGTTTAAATTAGATCATTAGACAGAATCTGCTCATGTGCTTTTTATAACTAGTTTGCCCCTCAAGGGCACATTTCAAAAGATCTTCTTTCTAAAGTGTCTCAAAAAACAAGTGTCTATATATGAAGAAAACATAGATATTTAGTTCTATTATCTCCTGTTAAAAAATGAAAATGAAGCACAAGACTTTCTGAATACTCTGTACTGAATGCTTCATTAAATCGACAACTGCTTCTGATGAAAAATATCATGATGTAAACACTTCTCACTTTCAGCATACTATTTAAATTGCATTTAAGTCTGTAAACGTTACTATTAGTTCAGAAGTCCTCTGTCTTGAAAAATTCTTCCAATGGATCTTATACAGTGCTGCTAGCACAGTATGGAGACTCATTATTCACCTATTTGGAACAAGCATTAAAAATTTGTAGTGTTTAGAATAATTCAGTTCTTCTATATTAGTATTACATATATCCAGATAAAAAAAAATAAAACAAACACCACACACACCAAGGAAAAAAACACTTCCTTGCACATGGTAAAATTTATGGGGTTCAAACCTCATTGAAGATATCCAAATACTACTTAAAGAACTCTTGTCTATCTGAATAGCCTTTTTATTCCATATTAGTACACTACCTTAAGCTTACTTTTGCTTTTATTTTTATTACAGTTGTAGCAAAGTAATCCAAAATCTAAAGTCCAGCTTCTTATAGAACAACAACTATGGATTTGGCATTAACCCATTAGAAAGGATGTACAACTAAAAGCAGAAATGGCTAGAAGACAATACTTAGAACACTTGGCTCTTTAATTGTAAACACATTGGAAGTATGCATACTACAAGTCTTAATTCCTATATAACAAATTACTCATTTGATACATCAGACTGTCATTTAAAGCTTAGTCATTTCAAGAAGGAAATGATTTTAAAAACTCAATTACTTGTAAGTAACTAAAACTACTGTAACAAAATAGCAAGTACCACAGACTGAACATTACACAATGTTATTTTAGCAAGCTCATCTTTTCTGTAGTTAAGAAGTATATACATTTGAACAGCATATTTCAGTGACTATCTGTGCCTCTAGAACAATAAGCCGTGCTACAGTCTCAGAAACTAGTTCAGAATCTCCCTTTCCCAAGTTGCAATCACAGGAAAAAAAAAAAAAGCATCATGAGATTTCAAAAATATGCTAGGAAGCTGAGAAAAATGTAACCATTTCAGACTCTGTGGCTGAAACTCTAGCCACACCGATAAATGACAAAGCAGATTCATTCCACTGAGATCTAGATTTCATCCCAAGAGCAATTAAATTCTAAGCAAAGCAGCTAAAACCCATCTGTCTCTTCAAGACGGATTTCAATTATTGTTCCATAATCATATATCCTTCTAACTAAATTGATGCTCACTTGGTGTATACCCCAAATACCAGCTTTAGTTCAGTAAAAATTCAGATAGCAGAGACATACACAGTTACTAGAGCCTCTAATAACAAAAGGACAGAGGATTGGATCTCTGTCGAACAGATGGTCTTCGTACGACCCGATAATACAGAGTACACAAGTTTTCTAAAACTATTAGTACAAATGAAATTTCTTTGAAAGAGGAAAAAAAAGAAACAGCTTACTCTCTAGAGGCATTAAAAATGCTAATGGAAAAACATTCATCTTGATTTTTTACTTCTTGCAGACCCCTATATGGTAGAATACTGTAGTGTCTTTTAAAAGTAGTAATACCTCATAATAATACAGGGACCCTTGTTTGGATTATCTATCCTATTTTCAATGTAAATAAGAGCTTTAACCTTCAAAAAATCAAAACCAAAGCTTTACTCGAACAAATGCATACTAAAGATTATGCTTCTCACATGCGTAGTTAATACAATGGATAGCACAGAACAACTCAAACAAGCCTTGCTATAGCAAAATAGTACTTTGTTTTCTGCTAAGGAAAGGGGCGATGAGACTCCAGGTAGGACCCATGTTTTCATCCATTCTGTTTATATGTATATTATTTCCCGACAAAAATAAATTAAAGCAAAAATACAGCAAGGTTCATGTAGTCAAGTAGACTACTGTACATGAAATGAAGTCTTACCACTCTCATTATCATTCCACAGACCTAATTAATACCACCCTAGGCAAATAAGCCAAACCACTTCTCATTTGACTACCCAACAAGGTCTACACTGCCATCTATATATTTGTTGATGCTATAGATGGCAAACAGATGACTAAACACTGACAATATTTACCATCTTATTATGAGTAATTCAGATGTACTGCTGGAATCCAAAGCATCACAAAGGCTCACACTGCTCCTTCTCACACCAGCCTAAAGCCAGGGAAACTCCAGAACCACCTATCTGCTTCAGATTTCCCCAGAAGCAATACTTCCCAGGGGCAGTCAGGCTGACATTAGCTTAAAAGACTCTTATCAATTGGATTTTGACAAAGATTTACTGCTTTCACCTTCACAATAATAGAGGACAGAAAATGCACAATTTGATCATACACCTCCTAGCAATCAAAACATCAGCATATGCTGCCTAATCACAATAATTATTCTCACGACCTTCAGGGTTTTTTTTAAGTTGCTTTTATACTCAGTGCCTTCAGACAGAAGCAGCAACAGAGGACAAAAGCTTATACTAGTCCACCCAACACCACAATTCTTCAGAACTAAGAACTGTATCAGAAATTCTTCTACATCTTAAGACTAAAAGTGATGAGTGTTTAATCTGTAGGCTAAAAAAAAAAAAGAAAAACAACTCTAAATCTCATTCTTTCTGCCAACAATAACAAGCAGAGGAAAAAAAAAAAAAACAGGACTACCACTAAAATGCAATTCAACAAACAGATGTATTATTGATGTTTCCCTTACTTAGGATGAAAATATAGTGCTTACTGCACTATAATTCTGGAAGAGCACTAACGGAATAAAAATCAAAATGAGTGGAAAAAGCACATTATTTTTTTTTAGATTCAGCACTAAGTCTTACACCCTCCTTCTTTCTCCACTACATCTAAACCAAATAAGTTTATTCTTCCACTTTTACATGTAAGACCTCTCTAACAGCTATTTACTTTCAATAAAGAAATTAACCAAAACGTTGAACAAAATTATCATAAGCTTCTAACAAACCTCTGCTCTTTGAGGCTTACAACAGCTTCTATCAATCAGAACATCAATGACTGACCTTCAGTTCATATAAATGTATAAATTAACGCACGGAGGATATGCATATCTAATACAAGGTACATAGCTCAAAAGCACATGAAAGCAGTGCCTTTTGTTTGATAAACTGCATTGAATATCTATTTCAGGTTTATCAAGGAGAAAGTTTAAGAATTTTTCCTGGTATGTGCATGCATGTGACAGGGAGAAGGGTGTTTATTTTTGCAGTGCCCTACATTAATTTTTTTTCCTGTAAACATCAATGTAACTATGAAGTTCATGCTAGAAAAAAAAAATCTCAAAATGATTTTCCAAGCTGGCCATAATTACCAAGAGAAGTTAATAACTATTTCTAAGCTTACTTTTAAGCACCACATCCCAAGATTGTAATTTAAGACAGAAAACGAACACCACCACAGGCAGCTGAACATATATCAGGAATTCCTCCTATGTAGTTACACATAACAATATAATTATGTCGCTCTGCCCCAGTTTCAGAAAAACATCTATGCTGTTCTGCTGTTGGGCTAGACAACCCTAACAAAACTACAATTTAAAATCTGACTTAGCGCCACAAGGACCTTTCAAAGGCAGAAAACAGCGTCTGCACTACTGATAATGGCACTGATGACATAGTACTTAGCACTTCTCAAATTTAAGAAGCTAGAGACATTGATTGATTATACCTAATTTTTCTTGGAAGTTCTGAATGAATAATATCATGTTAATAAAACCTGAGCGGTCTTTTAATTAAGCAACCCAAATAAGTTAGAACAGTGTTTCATTGGAAAAGGATGAAGGACAGACAGACAACTTACATCAAGTCTATCAGAACCCAGAGGCTGGCTAACTGACCTCAGCTGAAGGGTTAGAGCACTGCAACTACTCTCCATCTACTCCAGACTGAATGTTTGATGCAAATCAGTTGTGTTTAGAACTAAGAATATGGCTATTACTTATCTTGCTTTCTGTTTTCCAGACGTAAAGAGTCCAGTTCAACTTAAGAGCTAGTCAGCTACCTACTTTAAAGATGCTATGCTTGAACAAACAGACAAATGAAAATAAATTAATGTTCAAAAGGGTCCTGTGCAGATATAGAATAGAAACAAATCAATGGAAGTCAGTTAAGGACCAACTATTTTCTTGCTGTTACTCTTAGGTTTAAAGATTGGTAGGAGATATTTTACTTATTTGCTGAAGTAATTTCTTTATTGTTGAATGCCACCATGAGATTGCATAAGGAAGAAGCTGTGTTGTCCCAGCTTTCGAATGGGGCAAACATGCATGTAAGTGGTCTAACTCAAGGCCATCTGTCCAGAAACAGGGACTCCTTAACAAGAAGTTTCAGAAAGCTGTCAACTACAGAGGAAAGAAGAAACAGTTATCAAGTGAAAAAGATATATTAATTATTTTTAAAATATACATCAGCAATAAAATGAAAAAAACTACAGATATTCAGATGATGCGTATAAATACATACTATGCTGTTCATTTCTGAAGACTCGTAACTTCCGCATGGATGGACGCTTCCAATAGGTTCCAGTCCTTCTTCATCCCACATATATGTGCCATCTGAGCTATCAGATGGAGAAAGCTCGAAAGAGGACCCAGCTCTGTAATTTATCTCTGGAGAAATCACACTCTCAGCAGTATTCTTTGTACTTTCACTGTTGTCATCCACTGCTTAAAGAAAACAGAAACAGTCAAGATTCTAAAAAACAACCCAATATTACCAAAAAAAAAAAAACTAAGGCATATAAAAACATTAAAGTCTCAATAATAAACTGTGTTCTAACAGAAATATCTGAAAGCATTCTACAATATTAAGAACACTCATCCTAGGAGGTAAAAAGCTTAGCCACAAAGCTGGCCATTACAATTAAGTATCCTTTTAAACTACATCTTTCCTAGCTTTATACAACACAGCAATTCATCTGTCAAGAAAGATGAATTTTAGAATTCTGTATCTTTTTAATAAAATATGGTTCCACCTTCGGATCCAATCTTTTTAGCGCAACATCTCTCAAAGTAAATATATACACTAAGGAAAAAATACATCAGACTTGAAAATGCAGCTTTGCTTTTAAAGCATCTTCCATCTCTTCCACTGTTTTTTTTTTTTTTTTTTTTTTTAAGAGTTTAAGAGTTAATGCAGCATGCTTTTGGAAAAAAAACAGTAACATGACAATTTACAAAATTAAGTAATTAAATAGGTCACCCTACATTCATTGCCACTACATTAAGCAGTTACAGGTGTTCTCTGCCTACAGAGGAGGATAAAAATTGCAGAAATCGCTAGCCCAAGAGAAATGAATGCCAAGTAAGGCTAAGAGGAATTCTACAATCCTATAACAAGCTTGGCTAAGAGTACCACTATTTCTTATTCCAAAGAAATAAGCACTCTTATAAAAAAAAAAAAAAACGCTTGAAAATGTTTACTATCATGCAAAAAAAAAAAAAGCACTCAGAAAATAAGTTGGCCAGCATAGTTCCACTCTGAAAAAAAAATCAGAATAGTTAAACATAACTGCAATTACAGAATCTTGATAGAGTACCTAAAATACCAAACAGAATGCAAAGTATTTACCAGACATATTTATATCAAGCCAGTCATCAGCATTACAGCAAGATCCTCCACTTTCCTTGAGAGAAGTGAATGGCTCTATCGACGTTATGCTCCCATGCTCCAACTCTTGAACGCGGCTCTCCTTTTGCTGTAGTTGCACAGTTCTATTTGGATCTTCTATATCTATGAAGTCATCACTGAAGTCTTCACTCAAGTCATTTTTCTCCGAGGATGACAAAGAAGATATAGATATTTCATCTCCATCATCACTCATACACATGACACTTGACCCATGTTTTCCCGTGCTTTCATGGAGGCCATTGACAGATTCTGTTCTTCGAGCATCACACTCTATAATGCTGTTTTTGTCAATTGCTCGATTAATATTTGTTGCAATTTCAGAGTTCTCCACTATACACGTGTCAGGAGTTGTAGTTTTGCCATCATCCACAATGATATTTCCAGCAAATCGCTGCCTAGTAGGCTTCAGCAAAGATGGTCGACTTAATCTGTATCCAAAAGAAGGTGTGGACCCAGACCCATTTGTCAGTGGGGGCTTCTTTGAAGCAGGAGCTGATATACCAGAGTACGGCCTGGTAAATCCGTACTTCATAGGTTCATTTCCATTCGGTACATCCAACTGTCGTGCATTTCTTGACAACAGAGATGACCTCTGAGATGTCCTAACAGCTAGATTTTGACTATAAGGCCTTGTAAGATCCACAGCTTTATTAAAGGAATGTGACCTGGTTAACGACGTAGTGGGGAGGAAGGAATTCTGAATGGAATGTGAAAAACTTTGTGATCTTACCATTTTTTCACTGGAAAAAGGCTTGTTATTGTCTGTAGATTGTGCAAAGCTTTCTCCTGAACTTGTCCTTGTGGCACTGGAATTAGCTCTAGGTCTTTGCAAACCTACCATTGGCCTATTTCCATAAAATCCATTTAAGTGTGATTTTGGAGCACTGAGTCCAGAAAATGAGGTCCTTCCTGACAGGGTACCTTTGGCGAATTTTGCTGAACTAGAAAGTCCAGGCAAAGACTTTGGGTTTAATTCCTCTGTTGAAGGTACAAACATATTGTTTTGCTTTACTGTTTTTGATGCAACTGAAGCAGTGTTGTTCAAACCCACCCGGAGCACATCATTACTCAGTGCTCCTTGTGACGGAGAATACTTCTCAGAATCGATTAGTTTTTCATTGCAATTATGTTTGGAATTGGTGTCTCTCTCATTTTGATCATGAAGTTGATGTTTATTTGATTTTCTCCAGTTGAAAGAAAAGGAAGACATACCAACAGTGCCATTGTGCTTGCTGAAATTTTTGCCACCGTTATTGCCTGCTAAATTAACAGCCGACCCATTTGGCATAGGTTGCAAGACGCTTCCTAAAGTTTTCGTTCCGTATTTCGGTAGCCTGGAAACCAAGGATGTCCTGGTTTGATTTTTTTCTTCCATGAGCTACGGGGTACATTGGTCCTTAAAGAGTGCTTGAATCTAAGGAAAAGAAAGAACATATTAGACCTTGAATAACCACACATTAAACAATATTCTTCAACACAGATTTGCATCTGTGTAGATGACTATACCACAACTATATAAAGTAACTCATGCATTCTGTGAACTCCTGAGAAATACTTATCAACAGCAGCAATTTGGCAGTAATACTATTCAGGTGTCACTCTCCACCCCCAGCATTTTCATTGTCTAGATAAACTGCACTTTTTGCCTTCTTTACATCATTAAAATAAGCTTTAAAATGGGTGCATATTTTTCCTTTGCCTATTTTGAGCAGCAAACTGAATTTTTTAATTGTACTACAATTACTCAACTACATACTTAAGACTTCATATTTAAAAAGGAACATATTGAATATAGCACAAATCTGCTGTCAGCAACATAGGACTTCCAAATCTGTAATATAAAACCTGACCAAAAGCTTTTTTTTTCCAAAATTATTTTTCCTTGCCAAAACGTTCACATTGGCCTGCCATAGCCCCTGCTGAAAAGGCGATACTGACAGACACCACAACATATATCCTTAAGTATGAACAAAATCAAAATAGCAGCAGGAGAAACAACATTATCGAAAAACAACTGAAAATAAGTTTCCAAATTATTCACTGCCTTGGGAATTTCTCAAGCTCTTCATGCAGAAGATTTGAGGAAACTTAGACATTCAGGGGTGTTTTTGTTTTTAACACTAGTGAATCAGATTTCTGCTATCAGAACCAGCACAGTGTATAGGAAATCCAGCAGGTGTAAAAGTAGCAAATGCACAGATCATATGAGCATGAAGATTACCAACTTCTGAAAGAAACCTATTACTGAAGAAAGCTACTTATATTAAGCATCATCAATAGAATTCAGTACCCAAAAATCATCATTTTTGTCAGCTGGTCATACTGCGAAGGCAAGAGATGCGTCCTAGCAGATGCTCACAGCAAGCATCTTTCTCCTCATTCCAACAGGGGTACTTCCCCACTATATCCTCCCAGATTCCATTCATCTCAGAACTTCCCAAGCAAGGAGCTGCGTTCACAGCCTCCTGTTTTAACTGTGCTTCAGTACAGGCTTTTCTTCACTAATTTTGGTAATCGTCTATTCTATTTTCAGAATAATCTCAAAGCTCCAGAACTCCATACTCTGTGGTACAACTGTTTGTTTTCATTTGTTGAAAACTCAATAGCCAATCATTTCATTTGGTGTCCTCAATTGATATGTTATAACGTACAAAATAATCACTCATCATTGATCTTCACCTCAGCATCTTGTTTTTCCACATTTAAATGACATCCCCATTCTGGATGAAAAATCCTGGCCATTTTTCCTCTTTCCATGGAAACTATGGTCTATTTTGGTTATCTTCTTATTTGTGTACAAGATCTGAAGAACATGGCAGCAGCTGCCTACAGCATTCAATTTAATAAAACTCTTAGTAAAGGTGAATTTAAAAGCTTTACTTTTGTGCTCTAGTATGTGAACACAGCCCAGACTCTGAGATAAAAAGACAATTACAGTACTTATTCATTTCCTTACATCTATGACTTTTCATTCCCTAACCCCGATTGGGAACATTACACTGCCACCTTCACTAAAGATTTGTTCCATCTGAACTTATGTGATTTTGGTGTCATGCTTTTATTTTATAAAGCCACATCTGCTTTACAGGCGTATCTTTGCCTCAACAATTCCTGCCTTGAGAATCCCCATCTCCTTGCTTTAGTACATCACTTGTTTCTTCCACGCTTATCCACATATTCATCCTATTATTTTTTTTTTTACCATGTCTGCATCATCCTTTTGCACAGCACTTCATCTGTTGTTTTTCCTGGCAATGCAATACAAAGAATTTGTCTAAATGCTATTAGCAAAGACTAATAATTCAGATAATATGGGCTTTCAAGTTCCTAAGTTGTATATTCAACACTGTATATAAAGAAAAGGTTTACTCTAACACTAATTTCTGTACTTGCAAGATGAGGTTTCTTTTTTCCAAGACAGATGTGAAAGGATACCTTGCTTTTGTTATGCTGGATTTTATTCATCAGCCAGTTTCACACACTGGTCTTATAATGGTGCCAAGACAATTAATTTCACTAGTTCATACATTATTCCCTGAAACTAATATCTGTATTTCCTTCATCGTAGACCTACTACACGCAGCTAGCAGGACTGAAAAGTACCCTGAAAGTTTTTAAACCATGGCAATCATAGACCACAAGAAGCAGGATGAGAAGTAATATACAGCAAGTATCATTATCCTCATTTGAGGTACAGGAAACACCCTGTGTAACCAAAGCAAACACTACCCAAAGTGAGTCACTCCCCAAGCTGCAAGACCTCACTAAGAAACGTTTAAGATAAAATCAAAGTGGCATTAAACTCATGCAAACTGAAGCACCCTTAGGATTTTGTAAATGAATAGGATGCCCCAGAGCTGTACTTTTGAAAATAGGTCTACATTAAGAAGAGAAACACTCATAAAGATGGCTTTTTAGGGGCTCCTAATGTAGTGAAAATATCAGGATCCACATTCTGCAACTGGTAGAGCACAATTCCATTTAGAAACACAAATGCACAGTTCCAAAATACTGAGTGTAAGTGAATGCTTGCACATTGGAGATGTAATCCACAGAGCTGTACACATCTCATTCTCAGCAGTGGTTTCTTATTTTTATACAGAGGAATGTAAGTTAGAGTTATAACAAGATTATCTGCTAGTAAGAACAGCATGTATTTCTCAATGTGCTCAATACAGACTGTTTCACATGAAAAAAGGCTGCTATACTACGTAACTGTAGTAGATAGTATGAGACCCACCAGTTTGTACCTTAGAACATCCATTAATCGACATAGAATTGTTTTCTACATGTATATAGTCAAGGAAAATATATGGAGAACCACTCACAAGTACATCACCACTCATTAACTGAGCCTTAGTAACTTATGATGCAGATGTTCCTAGCTTGCTACAGCTGAGAAGTGCTTGAAATACTTCCTTATGCGAACTTAAAACAGAGAAGAGGCATGCATTATGCAAAGTTTGTTGGTTAGCTATATTTAAAATAAAGCTTTAAACAAAAAAGAGAAAAAAAATTCTATCAAATTTAGGCAATAATTACCTAAAGTCATGATGATTATTGTATGCTTTTTTTTTTTTTGGAAAAGATGCTATGAGCTTACAAACATCGCACTACTCAGCTTGTTTGCCAGCTGTATTGCAAAGGCAGCAAGTAGCAGCCCACACTTTTTTTTTTTTTTTTTTTTTTATAAATTTCTGCTGTGCAGTTGCAAGTATTTTTATTGGCTGGAATGCATTAATATCCCCCTGTACTACAGGGAAGACAGTGACATAACGTACATATTCTCTTCTACTTAGATCTCTGCAGAAATCATCCCAGCTACATTTAAAACAATTTCACATGAACTACATCATAATTTACAAGCAGATCAAGAAATTGTAATTGTAACTTTGGAATTAATATTTTCAAGCATAAATCCTGTTTCTGAGCTGAAGAAGTATCTCAGTCCCCACACAGCTGAGTAACTTGGCATCTCTACTGTCTCCAAACCACAAAGAGATTCCTAAATTCAGTCAGGAGCCTTCTGTCCCAGCTGCATCTCCAACTGGAGACTGCTACAGTTAAGCTCCTGAGCCCACAGTTAAGACACCTACCTACCAGATGCACAGAAATGCTGAGCACTCCACAGTTTGCATTGACCTTACTTAAGTGCCTGTATGTGAATTCAGGTGCCTAATCATCTCAAAAAAAACTACGACCAATATTTTCCGCTAAGAAAATGTACTTAAAGCAACACATTTGTGTGTCTGTACCTATAAAAAAGAAACTTGCCCGCAGTGTACCTGAATAAGAGATTTTTTTCATTTATAATGTCTTTGAAGTTGACATTCGACATTACATTATGTCAAATATATTTAAGTAGATTGTATTTTTTTTTTTTTTTAAATAACTCAATGCATAAAAATGGCCTTGAACACTATGATGAATTCAGTCATGGCAAGCACCATATTATAGAGCCAAAGATATCCCAAAGCTAGCAAAAAATGCTCAACTCTTGTGAAGTCTTCAACACTAAGAGAAAAGTTAAATTAGAAAGCTGCTAATTTAGCTTTCATGCTTTATGGATAAATCCCTTTTCATATCTGTCTACCATCTCTTAGGTGACCACAAAATTTAAATGAGGCCTTTTAATGAGATTACTTTAATCCTCCAACAAGCACTGCAAATTAAACTTGAAAGGACGACCATTCAGTCCTCTAGGAAGGGTGCTTGCTCATTTATCCTTAATTAGGGAAAGACAAAATGTTATCTTCAAGAAAACTGCACTGATTGCTTAAAATGCTTCAGATAATTAAATTAAAAAACTGCTTACAACAAAAACTTGACTATGTTTTATGAGCTGTAGCTACTGTGTCGCATTTTCAATTCTAGGTTGCATTCATTTGGTTGAAGTACAAATGCTGTCAAAAAACAACAGTACCACATCTGGCAGACAATACTTTCCCCCCAAATCCAGAAACTTTCTCATGAAGTTCTCTCAAACTTCCTGAATTTCAACAAACACTTTCTCTTAAAAATGACATTTTAACAGTGAAATTTCATTACCAAGAAACACAGTACTTGCAAGTTATGCATTCCACAAATCTCAGGTTCAGGATAATCTGTGTTGTATTTTTCTGTATTATAAAAAATTCAAAGTACTTTTAGACGTGAGCAATCCATGGATTTTTTTTTTAAACAGACATTTGGGATAACAAGCCTTACACATTCTGCCCCAGGAAATGCATTACCAAGTGCACACAAGTCTAAATGGGAATTAAACTAAAGGGCCTAGACTTCATACATAATAATCCAAGGAAAAGGAATTAAGACTTACAAATCCTCTGAAGTGTAACCTGAACTGAAAAGGTGCTACATCCCTTCAAGGACATCCGAGATCCTAGTGATAAGAAGGATGTTCATTTTCACTCT